CTTTTCAAAGAATACCCACCCCATTAAGCTAAAAGAGCCTTATTTTTAAATTTCAGGCTACCAATTCCCAAACCACCTCCTTCTAAAGGTTTAGAAACTCTATCCCACCCAACAAGATGTTTTACTTTACCTTCCTAATTGCCTCCCTGTAAGAAATATCTCATCATTTCCTCAACTCATAACATTCCAAGTAGACTATGGTAATTGTTAGAAGTATAACATTGTAACATTTTGAATTAATTTTAGTTGAAAGCTTAATTCTTTTAAGAGTTCTCCACGAAGGAAAGTAATGGAATAAGCACTAATTTTAATATACCTCTTCATCAGACAAAAAAAAAAATTACTTGAAGATATGTACCATGCCATTTTAATTTTACTATTTAGGTAAGTATTAAAACCATCTTCTTTAAAACGCATCATACATTTATGTGCTTTGCATTATCATGTGCAGAAGCTCCTACAGTAAAACATTAATTTTGGAACAAAGTGAAACTTGGGGGGAAATAATGATTACCTTGAAAGATTCAATGAAATGTGGAATATCTTTTGCAGATTCGACTGAATCCATCCGCTTCCCTTGCTTTTCAGATATGCTATGTAAGAGCTCTTTAACCCCTGAAAATATTAGACATTTAAATTAAAAGAACAAAGGAGTGAATTAAAATAAAATAAATAAAAAAGTAGCACCCAATATTAGTAAAAAAATGGAGCATATAAATAAATAAAGAGATCACAATAAACAAGTTTTGTTTATAAAGTCACATGTTAAATGGAGTAGAAAAACGAAATTAGAAGCGTAAATGATAAATGAACCGACAATATAGACAAAATGTTTTAAAAATTCTTATTTGATAATGTTATTACTGGATAATAGCATTACATTTGTTTATTGGATAATAGCATTACATTTGTTGGACGGAAGAAGAATCCAAGCACTTCACCGTCGAATTCGATTAAATGGTAGTGGTGGACTTGCTTTTACTCTCCAATAGCATTACATTTGTTTTTTTGATATCGACGAACTAGCTTACATGTACTTTGACTAATCTTATAAAATAACCATTTGACCCTACAACATTTAGTTGTTAAGAAATTCATAAGATTTTAATGTCCGAGCTAGGTGGCCACCATAAGTTTTGAACTCATTCCTCCAAATCCCCTTTACTTTTTTCACTTGCTCCCAAGTCACTAGGTGAACCCCGGTGGTTTAGGATTACTTGATATTATTATGATATAAATGAATATAACAAACAAGACAATGTATAGAGGAGATAGAGGAGAAAGATCAATAAGTTTTCTAACAGGTATATATATGGCTGTTAGTTTTGTAACAGGTTTATATATGTTGCATTTCAAGCTCTCTACACAAACGAAATCATACCTTTATCCATAAGGGTGAGACCCACTTTTGACTGATAGATGGCTCTCATTGACAAAACAATCTTTCCATCAATTATCTCTTCCACAAGCCTTTTTTTCTGCCGATCGTAAACCTAAATAATAAATTGTGAGCTAACAAGAAAAATAGTAGAGATCAAAATACTAAATTCAGAGAGATATAGATAATATTACAAATAATTCAAAATTATTTCCACAAAACTAGTTTAAAAAAAAAAGAGATGGATGAAGTTTTACATGTGCGGCTCAGAATCATCTCTTTTCTTTTCTCCACTCTACTGACATTACTTCAAATCGTAGTAAACATGCAATACAAAAAATTTTAGATATCTAGATCCTTTGGGAAGTTGGGAACAAAATATGTTCTTCAAGTTGAAACCATTTTTTATTTTCATTTACATAATAATCCCTTACAAATCTGTATGTGTTTTAAGCTGCAAAATTGTGCACTAAACATTCGTTAATTAGATGTTATTAATTAAATGGAAAAGCATTTGTGTACAAAAAGATATTTAATTTGAAAAAGGAGTCAAAATTAGAGAAGCTACATACTACAATATGAGATGCACTTGAACCAGAGTTTAGACCAACGTCATAAGATGCAAAATGAGCCCATTCGCTTAATTTAAACATCCACCTGCAAAGCGTCAGGATTTTGCAATCATTAAAGAGAAAAGGACAGAAATATGATTAGTTATGACGAAACTCACTCTCATCCCTTCCCTGACTCATTGTTTTGGAAAAAAAAAATGTGCCTAGGCACTAGGTGCATTAGTGCTCGTTGCCTCACATGAGCAAGGTGTCCTCACGAAAATACACACACCTGGGCACAAGAGGAGTGCACCATAGTGGACCTCAGACTTTAATTATTAAATTATTAAATTATTAAATTAATAATTAAGAAAGGATGAAGGAGAACAAGAAAACTCTAAACTACATTTTTTTTTTATATATCAAATTACTAAATTCAATATAACCTAAAAGTTAAGTTTTGAATTTAGTGGTAATTTAAGAAGAACAAGAGAGAGGAGTGTTTAAAAAGGGTAGCTCAAATGAAGGTGAGTCTAGTACTATTAGATTTCGACTGGTTGAACTTTTCCTTCAATTTTTTCTACTCAGTGCAGCAAAAAGTCACTTTCAGTGTTCCCTACTAAGGGAGACTTGTGCAGTCAATTGGCCGAGGAGGTACCATGCAATGTGCAAAAAAAGTGGACAGGAGATAATTAGAAGAGAGAGATTTACAGGAAGGGGAGTGACACACTAGATTGGCCTCATGTGGGTCCTGGTTCTTCAAATTTCCTAAAAGAAAATCTTTTCAGGTTTCTCCGTGAGAATATCAACTAACTTTGATTGATTTGGTTGAGTTCTATCAACCTAAAACTAAATTTTTTTCACATTAATATAACCTTGACACTGTCTGGAAATCTCTAAAATGTGACAATTTCTGTTGATTGTGAACAAAGCAACAGAGAATCATTTGTACATTGAAGGAGAAAACTAAAACCAACTGGTCTCAGGAAAAAAGCCTTTAAGGAGCACATGGTAGGTCCACTTTGTGGAAGAACCTTCTAACAACATCAATGACTAAAATGACTAGAAGAAGAAGAAAAACAAAAAGTAAAGAGGATCTGTTTTCTCAAATCTCAGCTTGAATTTTTCCCGCTTGGGCCTCAATCAGAGAAATTTGTGTCTACGAAGCAGACTGAAATTCAAGCTCTCCATTTATGTCAAAAATATTTCTCAAAAGTAGCATACACAAAATGCCAAAACATAATCATGACCTTCCAAATCAATCTTAAATAAGAAGCCTTACATTTTTCACCCTCCAGTTTTTTTTTTAGTACAACAAGTGGAGGCGGGGGATTCGAACTCATGACCTCTTGGTCAGAGATAGGTGCCTGTTGACTTTCACCCTCCTGTTATTTACAACTTGATTAACAATGAATATTGAATCAATGAGCTGCCCTTCTTTGATAAAAGCTCTTTTATCACTAGATACGTTGGCCTCCATGACCACTCTAATTAACCGTGAGACTGTTGACACGGCTACTTTTGGGTTCTCAATAGACTTTCTTGGTTCAGTCCCTCTGTGATTTACCATTTTTTGACATTCAAGTTAATTAGAGTTTTGTTTAAACTCGTTTGCCTGAAAATATGTCATATTCTCCCACTTTTGTATTTAGTGATAGATATTTCATTGCAAGTATTTTGTATCTAAAAAATGAATGTAAATTAACCTGAAAGGATCAATTCTTAAATTTAGTGAGATCTAGTCTAGCAAAGAGTGATCAACATTGCTTTCATACTCGATCCACTGCCCTGTTTAACTATCTTGTACTGAGCCCAAAAAGACCTAAAGAAGTACACATAAACATTACCCATATGCAGCCTGTTTGTCAGTCAAGAATCCTCCGGTCATAACTTGGTTTCCAGTTCCTTCATCAAAACATAGTGTTAAGTGAATCATACTGTTTAGTTTATCAGAAACATCGAGAGTTTCACCACAAACAGGACAGCAATTCATCAATGGTTCCCTGCAAATTAAAGAAAAGCATGAATGCTAGTGTAAAATGCTAGAAAAATGATAAGGAATGCAGTGAAAAAGATGTGAGTTGGAAATTCAAAATTATTCCAATGTCAACCTTAACCAAAGTGCATTATGCAATTGAACAAAAAACAAACTTTTCATTGATGGATGAAAAGGAAGAAAAATATTTAAGGATACAAACTCTGAAAGGGAGCGAAAAAAAGAATAAACAGCCAAAATAAAGAACAAATCTCCAAAAAATACAAGAGAATAAAACATTAAAGAACAAAACGACAAGCTGAAACAACCGAAAACTACTTCCATCAATTTGCAAAAGCTACACCAATATATTGAACAAGAGAAAAGCGCATTCAGAAGCCCTTGATGAGAGCACCAATCGGAGAATGCCAAAACAACGGAAACGTCCCATAAGCAATATAATAGCAAAAATTTAAATTTGGACAACTTCTGCAAGGAGGACCAATAGTGTCCATAATCCAGTACACAATGCTACCAGCATACCCTACGTGTTGCCACCATATGAAGAACCCGATATGCATAGTTAAGAAACCAAAAATTTGAACATGCAAAGGAAAAACCAAAGTATGTGAACTCTAACGACCTTAAGGCACAAATAATCCAACTTGAGGCAGAACAACAAACTAATCAATGAAAATCTTACTACAGAATCACTCTGCAAGCTAATTCGAACTAAGAAACCAAGGGCGAAGGCGGAAAGAAATGAACAAGAAAGAGGAGAGGAAGAGAGCATGTTTTACCTGCTATTTCGTTAGCTTAGTTTTATGCATTTTATATGTTATATCTTATTATTTGTTTCCTTTATAACTTTGTTATACCTCATTTCTTTCCATGTATGTAAGTGTACATGTATATTTATTTACCTTTTTTATATGTAGTGCACCTCATGAAAAAGAAGCCAATACTCAAACCCTAAAGGGTTATTGAACTAAAACACTATGCACAAAAACAAATATAACTACACTATCAACAGCCATACAAGTTTACCATGAAACCTGAAAATTCTGCTTATTTTCATTTATCAAAATATCAAGTGTATACAAGAAACAGGTGGAACAGCATTAGATTCAAATGGATCCTTACTTCTCTTGTTGAACAGCAAGAAGAGCAGCCAATTCATCAAGCGCAACAACACCATCCCCATTCTTGTCAGCTTCTTTAAAAAGCTCCTCTTTCTAGAATAATAGTAAATATATCGCTCAGGAAAAACAAATATAAAACCAGATAGTAAATGAAGATATTTATTTCATAAAGATCTTTTTTTAACAAGAAACTAACTTTTGATTGATGCATAAAAAGGAACAAAAATTAAGATACAAATTCTCCAAAGAGTGAAGGGAAAGAAAGAAGAACAACAATAAAGTACAATCAATCAAAGGTGACTACGAGGGAAATATAAAAGCCTACCAATTAGGACAAATCATACTAGGAGAATAGACTGAAAATCAATATCCAAAGCTGATCTAGCAGAATTTAACCAGCATTCTTTGATATAAAAGATTTATTTCCAATTCAAAGAGAATTCAATTACAAGCAGAGAGCTAAAAACTGCATAGACTAAGCTTTCTTCAAGTAGAATGAACTTTTATTCCCAAAGAACAAAGAAAAGAGTAACAAGGATGTAGAGACAGCATAAGAAGAAATCCTTCAGAACGAAAACAAAACAAAAGAGACTAAATTCTACGTTTACAATTGAAAGAAATACAAAGAAGCAGTTCTATTAACACATCAACTCTAGGTTTGAGCTGTTCTTAAATCTTAACAATTCAGAGTTAAGACGTATTATTTGCATAAAACCAACGTTAGAATCATTTCTAACAATGGCATATAGGGGGAGAAAAGAAATAGAGGGAGAGAGAAAATTATATTCTAACATCAAACCTTAGAAGCTGCCACTTGATTTCCAAAAGCACCAATTAAGTCAGAAAATTCAGAGAATGAGAGCTCTCCATCCTGATTATAATCCTGTCGAAGTGTGACAGCGCTCAAAAATATGAAAGTCAAAAAAATTTTGGTAGGAGAATTCTTTCGAGTAAAATTTTGCATGTATGTCTAGCAAACATCATTCCAATTATATTCATGATCAATTTCAGTAACAGTTCTTTACATGGTCTAGTAACCGTATATCAAGAATAGTAACCGTATAGAAAGCATCATTCAAGTCATACACATCAAATTGGGACATATAGCAAACATTAAATGGTCCAGTAACCGTATATTCATCCATTCGAATTATATACATCAATTAAATGGTCTAGCACCTGTATATTCATCAATTGAAGTTATATACATCAATCAAATGGTCAATTAACCATATAGCAAACATCATTCGAATTATATGCATGATCAATTTAATGCTTCTCTTTTGGGCAAGTGTAACTCGTAATTTTAGTAATTCATGTTTTTTCTTTTTATTACAATCATCCTAGTTTGACTTTGCTTTCTTGTAACATTATCTTTTTTTCAATACTTCATTTCTTCAATGAATTTCTTATCAAAAATATATATACGTTGTTTCTAATATTTCAAAATCAAGGACCCAGGAAGCACCGACATGCTTAAATGGGCGAGGTGTCACACCGACACGCGCCAACACATGAAAACGAGTGCCATAATTTCTTTTTTTAATTAACCGACACGCATCCGACATGCCATCAGTTTTTTTTTTTAAATGAATTAAGTATTTCTAGCTTTTTTAATATTGTAGCCCAAGTCAAAGGCCCAAAGCCCATCAGGTTATTTCTAATTTCTGCCAAAAACAAGACATTTGCCTCCCTCCTTTGGTTTACGGATGTCCACGAAAAACAACAAAACAACGTCGATTTTCTTCGACTTATTGGTAATTTTCTTGGCTTTTTCTTCACGGATTTCAAGCTTTCTTCTTTGTTGTTCATCTTCTTCAACTTCTCCCACAAGGTACTTTCTTTATTTTACTTGCAATTTTTTTTAACTTATTTTACTTTTTTTTCATCTCTTTGTTCTTTCTCTATTTTTTGTCTCGGCCGTTTCTTTGGTGACCACTCTCTTACGAGTTACTTCATGGAGCGAAAAAGAATTTATGCAGAGTTTAATGCATTACTCCCAGATAGTACTGATGTAAAAGTCCAGCTGGCCCAACGCGAACAACTAGCAATTATGAGTTTTCTTCTTAGTCTTCCACCTAGATTTGATGTGGCCAAAGACCAATTACTCTAGTTTGGAAATCGCATCTTTAGAGGAGGCATACGCTCGAGTAATTCGCATTGAGAAGTCACAACCCGTCCTGTCATCCAAGTCTAACAGTGCTTTGGTCGGACGTACAAATGCATATCGAGGTAACACCTACCAAGGAAATTCTACAAGTTCGAACACTCAACGATGGAATTCAAGTGCTCCAAAATCGAATTCAGGAGATATCATTGTATGCAATTATTGTCATAAGTATGGTCATACAAAACGAGAATGTAGAAAGTTGTTGAATAAAGGTCAGAGGACACAGTCTACACATGTTGCATTTACAACAGATGATGTTGGCAAGTTAGTCATGATTCCTGCAGAATTGTTTGCCAAGTTCCAACAGTATTAAGAGTCATTAACCAGACATTAGCTTTGCAGTTAGCATGGTTAGTCAATTTCTGAACAAAGGAAATGGAAGTTGTGTATATAATATTGAGATATCTCAAGCACAATCCTGAAAATGGGCTCATGTTCAAGAAGACCATAAATCAAGCTCTTGAAATCTACACTGATGCAAATTGGACTGGACCTCCTATTGATCGGAAGTCAACATCAGGATATTGTTCCTACGTATGGAGGAACTTAGTAACCTGGTGCAATAAGAAACAACAAGTTGTAGACTGAAGCTAAGTTTCAATCGTTAGCCCATGGGATTCGTGAAGGAATTTGGTTAAAACTGATGTAGTTAAGTAACTACTTCTTTATTAGCTACTGCTATAGTTTTTATTCAAGTAACTTTATTTTTACTGCACAATAACAATAGTTACTCACATAATTCTTAAGTTTGAAACCTCTATAAATAGGCTTCAGCACCTTTAATGAAAAATCATTGAATCATTTCTTAAAAACGCCTTCTCACTAAGCTCAAGATCAAGATTGAAGGTACTATAGAGGTACTATATGATAATCAATCTACCATAGTCATTGCAAGAAATCCAATACATCATGACTAAATGACACGTTGAAATAGACCGTTACTTCTAGGGGTGCACAATCAAACCGATGAGACCGACTAGAAACCAAACTGAATTTTCGGTTTCTACATTTCACGATTCTGTTCGATTGACTGACTAAACCGAGAAACTGAACTGAATTTTCAGTTTCTACAGCTTCACGATTCGGTTTGGTTAAGTACAATGGTCAAACCAAATATTTCGGTTCGGTTTTGGTTTTAAGGGTTGAAAACCAACTAGAAAACCTAACCGAATGTATACCTATATAATATATCATATTTTTATTATATATTATAATTATAACTCTTCATTCTACACACACACTCCCTGGCTCACGATCTCTGTCTCCAACTCGATCAGGTCCTTGGGGTTTTGATCCTTTTTTTGTTCATTATTTGATCCTTGCTATCTCCCACTAAGAATTCAATTCACTCTATTGCCGATCAAATATCTTCCACAATGTCGTCCGTGTATGGAGCTTGGTTGACCACCTTTGAAGATTCTGAGAAGGAATATGGATACATTTGGAAGGTATTTGGACCAGTTGTTGTGGCAGATGGCATGGGAGGTGCACCTATGTATGAATTGGTTCATGTTGGTCATGATAATCTAATTGGTGAAATCATGAGATTAAAAGGAGATTCTGCCACAATTCAAGTTTATGAGGAAACGGCTGGTTTGATGGTGAATGACCCTGTTCTACGGACTCATAACTCATAAACCTCTATCAGGGGAGTTAGGACCTGGAATATTGGGAAATATAATTGATGGCATGCAGAGGCCATTGAAGACTATTGTAAAGAGATCTAGAGATGTCTACATTCCTCGTGGTGTTGCAGTCCCTGCACTTGACAAAGACATACTATGGGATTTTCAACCAATTAGTATTTTCAACCAAAAAAACTAGGTGAGGGCGACCTATTGACAGGAGACTTGTATGCTACTGTCTTTGAGAATAGTTTAATGGAGCACCATATCGCTCTCCCTCCTAATTCTATGGGGAAAATTACCTATGTTGCACCACCTAGTCAATATTCATTGAAGGATACTGTTCTCGAGCTTGAGTTTCAAGGAGTTAAAAAGCAATTTACCATGCTTCGGACTTGGCCTGTGCGTACTCCTAGACCACTTGCATCTAAGCTTGCAGCTGATACCCCTCTTTTGACTGGGCAGCGTGTGCTTGATGCCCTCTTCCCTTCCGTTCTTGGTGGAACATGTGTTATTCCAAGAGCATTTGGTTGTGGAAAAACAGTCATTAGTCAAACTCTCTCTAAATACTCAAACTCTGATACTAACTCTGATTCTATGGTGTATTGGTTGAAGAGAGAGGGGAAATGAAATGGCTGAAGTTCTTATGGATTTTCCTCAATTCATGATGACGTTACCTGATGGCCGTGAAGAATCTGTAATGAAGCGTACCACTCTTGTGGCTAACACTTCTAAATTGCCTGTGGCTGCTCATGAAGCTTCAATTTATACTGGAATTACTTTGGCTGAATACTTTAGAGATATGGGATACAATGTAAGCATGATGGCTGATTCGACATCTCGATGGGCAAAAGCACTATGTGAAATATCCGGGCGACTGGCATAAATGCCTGGAAATAGTGGATATCGTGCATACCTAGTGGCACGTTTAGCTTCTTTCTATGAGCGTGCTGGTAAAGTGAAATGACTTGGTGGACCAGAAAGTATTATATATTTAATAATTAATTGAAAGAAGTTGAAAAGTCTCCATCATTGTCCTTCTCTCGAACAGCGTGTACTACCACATGTCAAAGTGTACTACCTCTGCCACTTATTAATTCGGGGCAGATATTGTAATTTTTCTTTTCAAATCAAATTCATTTTGGTACACTTCTGATCCATGAAGTTCGGAGTAGGTGTCTATTCGGTCCTTGAAGTTTCAAAATGGACATTTTTGGTCCCTGAAGTTTGGAGTTGGTGCCTATTAGGTCCCTTAAGTTTCAAAATGAACATTTTAGTCACTTAAGTTTGAAGAATGGTTCTATCTCAACTCTGTTAGTTGACTAATATTTAAATGACATGGTAGTTAAATTGCTGACTGTATTTTATTTATTTGAAAAAATATATTAATTTATTTTATTTTTTTATGACTAGACTTTATTTTTTAATAATTATATTTCCATCCTTTCACCTTGCAATTTCTTTCTTCCCCTCCATCGGTGAAGCGGGCCCCATCTTCGATGGGTTTTTCAAATAAATAAAATACAGTCAACAGTTTAACTGCCATGTCATTTAAACATTAGTCAACTAACTGTCAAAGTATAGTTCAGGGACCATTTAGAACCATTCTTCAAACTTGAGGGACTAAAAATGTTCATTTTGGAACTTTAGGGACCTAATAGGCACCAACTCCAAATTTCAGGGACTAAAAATGTCCATTTTAAAACTCCAGGGACCAAATAGACATGTACCCCAAACTTCAGGGGCCAAAAGTATATTTTCCCCTTCATATTTTAATGAATTGAATTTCAGATTTTTAACTTATTTAAATTTTCAACTTTTAAAATGAATGGACATCAATTTTCTAATTTTTAAAGTCTTTTATTTTAAACTTTTTAAGTTAGATTAGGGTTTCTTATTTCCCTTTCCATCTTCTTTCTTTTCCCAACCCTTCTCTTTCTCCATTCCCAACTCTTTTCTTTCTCCTTAGTTTCTTCTTCCTTCTTTCTCCATTTCTTCTTTTTTCTCTTAAAAGTTTTGTTATTTTTTCTTCTTCATTCTCTCTCATTCTTAACTCTTATCCTTTCCATCTCAATACAATCTTATTAATACTCTAACAGTCTTTTACTTGGGGAGTATTGTTTGGATCAGGGAGTGGAAATGGTGTAAACCAAATGAGAGAAAAGTAGTCTTATTTCATGACTGAAAATTACAATGGAGCTTCCTATTTATAGACAAATAGGCTACAACTTAAAGACTTTTAAAACTAAACCGCCTAACTCTTTTAACTAACAACTTAAACTCTACTAACTAATGTGTAGTTAGTTACATCAGGAAATGGTGAAAAAAGATCAGGTGAAGGTAAGGGTAATTTGGTTAGAAAAGAGAACTTGAGATTTTAAGGCATTTTTACCAATTATCCTTGAACAATAAAGCAACCTATATCAAATCTTATCAAAAACTGTGAAAATATAGTTCCTTATATCATTTATAAATTTAGCTATAAGAAGAGAACACTGGAACATACCACAATAGATAAGATGCGCTTTGCAAATTGTTTCTCTGTTTCAATCGGGTCCTGCCAATAATATTAAACTGGTTCATATAAATTCTTATTTGAATTAACTAAAAACCCATGTTATGAGGTATACCACACAGAAACATTTATAGAAATATTAGTGAAATGTTGCACACCTCGATAGAACATGACACAGAAATGTTGCCCACCACTGCATTAGGTGGTGAAGGATCCAACAATTCAAGTTCCTCAGTATCAGTCTCTGAATTCTGCAAAACCATAGTAGGATAATAATCGTATTCTCAAAGTAAGACAAAGTGAAAAGAAGAAAATCTGACTGTCGTTGCTATTGGTTAGGGTTATGTGCATAGATTCTGTCAAAAGCCTTGATTTGGGGTCTTTGGGAAGAAAGAAACTCAAAGATTTTTAGAGACGAAAGTCTTTCGTGGGAAGAAAAGTTGGTGAAATCCATTTGGAGTTCTAGGCATATAGGTTGGTCTGAGTTGGGTGCAGCAGCATTATTATCATGCAGAAAGAAACAGAACTCAGTACAAGTACATGATTCAGTTCTAGGCTCTTTTTCAGTATCGATCTTGATTAACTTTAAAGATTGTTTCGATTTTTAAAGGGTGGGTTACTGGGGTTTATGGCCCATCTTCATGCAGAGGGAGGGACGACTTCAGGCAAGAAATTGCTATACTCAATAGCCTGTGTTACGAGAGTTGGTGCATTGGAGTTTGGAGGTGACTTCAACGAAGTGAGTAGAATTGCAGAAAAATCCAGTGGAGGGAGAATTGCCAAAAGCATGAGGAACTTTAATTTGTTAATAGAGGAGATAAACTTGGTTAACATTCCAATGAAGAATGGTTTGTTTACTTGGTCAGGTGGTAGAGACYGTCCAGTGGCAATCCGCCTTGATAGATCCTTTCTCTTGCATAGTTGGATGGACTCTTTCAAGGAAGTAGAGTTGGTCAGACTATCTAGAATAATGTCAGATCACTTCTCTATAAATCTGAGAATCAAAAATGGGGCCCTTCTCCTTCCCAATTTGAAAATATGTGGTTGGATCATCCTTCTTTCCCGACAAATCTAGGATTGTGGTGGAAGTCTTAAGGATAGCTCCAATTGACCGAGGTTTACTTCCATGGTGAAACAATAGGACCTAAAATGCAAGTTGATTAGATGGACTAAGTAGGCATTCAGCAACGTGGAATCTCAGTTGATGCAGATTCAAGATAATATAGATGAGATTGATATAGTGGTGGCATTAATGCAAACTCAAATGCTCAATGATCTGATCTTAGGACCATTTTTATGGAATTGAGCCTAAAGGAACAGAGGAAATGGCCCCAAAAATGTGAACTCCAATGGCTCAGAGAGGGAGATGAAATTTTGCTTTTTTTCCACAAATGGACTTCGATTAGAAAATCAAAATCCCTAATCTCAATCCTGGAAAAGGAAGATGGCACCTTACTAAATTTAGAAGAAGAGATTGAGAAAGAAGTTGTTAATTTTTTCGCCAATCTGTACCACATCACGGAGGGTCAAAGGTTTGTGGTAGAAAATATCCAATAGTCCCAACTGGAAACAGACTGGAAGATATGGTCGGAAAGAACCCTCGAAGAAGAAGAGATTCATAAAGTGATATGCAATCTTGGAAACTTGAAATCTCCAAGTCCAGGTGGCACGTGACCAATGAGTTTTTTTAAAAAGCTTAGAACGTTTTGAAACACGATCTTTTTTTCTTTTTTGAAAAAGAACTATTCATTAATGGATGAAAATGAAGAAAAGTGTTCAAAGATACGAACTCCCTTTTGGGAGTGAAAGAAGATTAAAGAACAAAATAAAAGAACAAAACACCAAATATTACAAGAGAATAAAATATGGAAGAAAAAACACTTGGCATCTTGACAAAACAACTAAACAACAAGCAAAAAATTGAAAATATGGGACCCATTTCAAAGACCCACGACTGCCCGATTGAAAGAATTCTTTATGCAAGAAAACCTCACCAACTTCTGAAATACAAAAGAGCAATAGATCCTACTAAAAAGAACTGTGACCTTTCAACTTCAAAAGGCTCTTCCTACAGCTGAAACCAAGCGGAATTCCAAGCATCAGTAAGCTTTCAACTTCAAAAAACAAATTCACCTACGGGAAAACAAGGGAATTCCAATCGATCCCCATAAAAAAATAATGAAAGTGACCTATCAAATTCAAGAGACCTCTCCAAACTTTTGAATCTTTTGAAAAACCTTGGAATCTTCAATTACAAAAACCTTTACCACCTTTTCTACAAAGGCATTAGGAGTGTGTAGCTTATGCAATATAATGAGAGAAGAAAATTGGCCCATGCAGGTTTCGAACCTGCAAACCTTCGTTGCAATAATAGTTCTAAATTCATAGATGATATAAAACCAGGGCCCCTTTGCAACTCGGGGTGGTTCTTTCAGATGGACCTTTTTGGCATCCCTAATTGCTTCCCCAATCAAATAGACGATTGGCCGTTAAAAGTTTAGGCAAATTGGTTGCTGCCCCTAAAAGCCAAGATTCTTAGGAATTGTGCTGCTAGAGCTCTCCTTTGGTATATTTGGTTGGAAAGGAGCACCTTTGGAGATAAGTCTTCATCTTTTGAATTTTTTTGTAGAAGGATAAGCTCACCTCTTCTTTGTGGTGTCTTAATTATAGGAAATTTTTTTATAACTACAATTTTTCCATGATTATGAAAACCTGTAAAGCTCTATAGTCTTTTTTGAGGGTGGGGGTTCTCTCTTTCCCAACTCTTAGGCAGTAGTCTGTACTCTGTTTGTTTTTGTTTGTTAATATATAGGTTTCTTATCTTTAAAATAAAAAATAAAAAATAGAAAAAGGGGGGTAACTCATCAATTGTAAAACACTAGAGTAAACTCCAACAATGTTACAAGTACAGGAAAAAGAAATGAACGTTCCTATGTGAAGTGTTCAAAGTAATGCAACTAAATGATCGTGGATGGGTGCATGTATGGTAAGTGGTAACAGATACTCACTTGTGATAGAAATTCAAGTAGATCTATCTCACAATACCCTACAAGGTTGTTGCGAGATATTCTATTAGTCTGCAACACAAAAAGATAGTAATTACATATTTTAGGTTACACAATTACATGGAAGAAGTATAAATGAATGCCTACAAAGAATCATGCTCAATCTTCATATAAAGAACAGGATGTTTTAAAATCAGATTTTTCTTGTCTTCTTTGTGGTTCAAGTAAAATTTACAATACCATTTATTTGTGATTCAAGTAAAATTTGAGAATTCTAAAGATTAAGCAAATTTATACTTTTTATATTAATTTCATTAAGGATATTCTATAACTGATTACTATTCTTTTTATTAATAGAAAAGTAACAAAAAGAGGTGAATGAGGTAATCTCAACTGAGACAGAAATTCAATGCTTGAAGGCCAATACGGTCCTTGAAGAATTTGAAAACTTCCAAAAGTTATACTCTGATTTTCTTTCGACGATTTCTTTTTTTTTCCTTCACAGATCAAGTATGAAGTTTTCGTTTTATTAACATAATTATTTTATAAAATTTAATAAAAATTTTGAAAAGTATAAAATCAAGAATAAAATTATATTAAACTAAGATATATTACACGCAAAGCTAATATTTTAAATATCTAAAGTTCTTTGAAGGACTATATTACTTTTGAATTGAAAATTAATTAGTTTTGAAATTTTTATTGCAGTACTAATTAGAAGAAAAAAAAAGTTCCAAAATCTTCAATGCTTAGAAACCTTTTTTTTTCAGTAAACTAAAATAAACCCTAAACAAAGTTAAAGCAATTTAACCTTAAAGATGATTACTACCTCAAAAACAGAGATTCTCGCCATATGGGGTCCACCTTTCTCCAAGAGAAGTTTCTTTTCCTGTAGAAGAAAAGTTGTACAAAAATAAAGCTGCATGCATCAGGTAATTTCTGGATATCATATATATATTGAATGTGACCTAACAATGCATTTTAAAACTTGATAATGAGCATAAAAAATTATTTAATATTGATTCATTATTTACATTTGCATATAAAGAGTACAACCTACTGATATCTCTAAATTCTCAAATATATAATACATGAATCAGAACTCCAAGAAAATATTTTAGCTTATGGTAGTTCAGGGTACGTCCCCTTGGTTCCAGATATCAAAGATAACAATTCCTATTGAGTAGAGAGCTACATTCAAAGGTTGGCCAGGTAATGGTATTTTAGGGAGACATCGGATGAAGGACATGCCTGTTAGTCTCTCTTATCAAATATTTTCGCTGGTAGGGGTAATCCAAATTTATGAAGATTTGAGAAGCTAGGTGCTGAATTCTTAAGAAAACAATTCTTTTAAGATACAGTGGAATTCCGGTCAAGTCAACTGTGGGAGAGGAATTTCTCTCTTTCTTCCTCGGCTGACTTTAGAGGAATTTCTCTCTCTTTATTTATTTGTCTATTCTGTTAGGACTTAGGGTATTAATGTCTCGACTTAAGACTCAAGGATGGTGATATAGAATATCTTTTCTTGATTAGTTCTTGACAAATCTTTAAATATTGGTTGGTTGTAATCTTGATGTTTGAGTTACATTCTTGCATTCAGGTAGTCTAAGCCCTACGGTGTTCATTTTACAGCCTGTAGCTTTCTTCATTTCACCCACTGCTGTTTTAACCGAGTGCAAGTGTTGGTCTGCTGGAGGGATTTGTGAAGAAGCTCCCACTTCAATGGTTTTGTTTCTCAACATTAAGAGATCCAAAAGAAACGCCTTGGATCGAGCGCTCTGATACCACTTGATGTATTCAAATGAGGGAATATTTTATTAATTCACTTAAAGATGCTTCAAATAAATCTCAGCGGCCTCTGCTTATAATAGAGAGGCCACAGTAACAGCCTAACAACCAACTCATGGTAAAATCCAACAGCTAAGGTAACACAATTTACCTGCTGTAAAAAGAGCTAGGTAAGAAAAGCTACTGTAAAATGAATACCTTAGGCTACCCGAATACAAGAATGTAATTCAAACATCGAGATTACAACCAACATTTAAAGATGTGTCAAGAACTAATCAAGAAAAGATGTTCTAAATCAGATGGGTTGGGCAGTGTCATGAGCAAGTCATGCAAATGAGAGCATATGAAGATGGCACATGATGACAAGCCAAGTTGGGGGTCATGTGGCCAAGAATGTAGATTCCACAAAGCAAGTGACTCCTTGCTATTTTGATATTCATGGATGAAAAAGCCTAGATAGCTCAAAATGTACGATAGATGAGGAATGGTGTAAAATCTCCACAATTCTTGAACCATGAGCCTACGTGAGTCACCTTGGAACATGGTGTGCTATGGTGTGAGCTAGCAATAAGGGTTGAGGTGAGCCTCCATTGTCTTTCATTGGGAGCCGCAATCCCTTGGGCAACGGCACAAACATTGCGTTCCATGGACTAAAGGTATCAGCAGAGGACATAACCTAGGGACAAATATCCAATTGTGGGTCGACAAAGGTATGAATGATGTTATGTGAAGCGAAGGCACAAATAAACGGAAGTCAAGGCAAGACCCATCATCATTGGTGGACTCGTGGGATAATTGATAGAAAGAGATAGGTGATGGGATGAGCCTGAAGGCAAGAGAGAGTCTTAAAGACACCCCAAAGTCATGAGTGTAGTTATAGGGCAATCCTATATCACACACAAGCTAACGCTTTTGGATTAATGCAATTAGGTGCATTCTAGGTTATCTGTTTCTTCCCTGTAGCTCCTCCTTTAGGAGTTCTACAACTATCTTTATTTTTTTTCACTCTGAAGTCTGAACTGCAGAGCCTTTTTTTAATAACTTCAGGTTACAGCCTCTTCCCCCTTTTCTCCATTTTATCGTATTAATGAAATACTATTTTTATCAAAATCAACATGGGTTGGCCTAATAGTTGTAGCTATAAAACTAGATATTTTTTAGGTTATAGTTCAAAAACATCCATAAATTTTCTCAAGAAAAAAATGGTTATCTCAAGAGATTAGCGAAGGTGCATATAAGTTGGCCTCGAAACCCACAAATATCAAAATAATAAACATATTGTTTCTTATTGGTAGAAACAAAGAAAAAATTATCACCAGTGCTTATTAATGGTGAAAATGTGGTCATTCCGTCAATAATGTTGTAGAACAGGGTATTAAAAAATGGTAAGGTTCAATGGTGGGAATTTATCGATTCGTGTGTCCCTTTTGATGTTCTCTCTAAACTGGTGACCAAAATTTGGAGTAGCCTACTATTATCATGTTGGAAAATGGGCTTATTCTATTTTGGTTTTCGCCATGTGGAGTGGAATCTCGAGATTCGAGACTGGATTTTGGGTAATAGGCCATAGCGTATCGGAGGAAAGCCTGTGATACTATGGAAGTAGATGCCCATTATTGTGCTCCAACGCTTTGAGTTTCATCATGTTTCCCTTGTGGATTAACTCCTCAAAGGTATTAGTGCAGTTGGTAGACCACAATGCCTTGATAAAGCTATTGGGGAGGAAAGTAAATTGCGTTTTGCTAGAATGTGTGTAGAAGTGGTTGCTGATGATCCTCTTCCTAATTCTGTCAAGGTTCACGTTCGAGGTTTGAATTTTGTTATCCCTATTGAGTACTCTTGGAAACCCAAGAAGTACGATCGGTGTATGGTGTACAGGCATTATAGTGCCTTATGCCCTCATGGTCCTAAGAAGGCATGGGTACCAAAGATGCCTCAAAATTTAGCCAACAACCAGCTAAGGTGGATGTTTCTCAATATTTCCCCCCTCCCACTTCCCCTACAAAGTCAACACAAGGTCCTACAAATAGGTTTTCAATATTAGATCGCTCAGATTGTGACTTTAAAACTGCGGTTAGTTCCTCTTGATCCTTATCATTGGCTTTAGGAACCTCGGATTTTATGGTTCCTCCAAAGGATAGGGGTGCTAATTGTCTACGAAGTCACCTGAGAATTTCTCTGTGGTTTTATCTAAGAAACAAACTATGTAGCTTTAGAAGGGGCACTTGGCTCATTTGTCTCACTCGAGTCCAGAGGATCCTTCTACTCTGGCCATGTCTAGTTGGTGTTCGTGGAATGCTGCTAAATGACCCTGTTAAATGTCATGAGGATTCATGGAGTGTTCTTCATCCAACCACGACTATTTTACCTCTTGTTCAGAGTGATGTGTATGTTCGTGTTGTTACTTGGCGAGATAGCATTCGTTCTAGTTTCCACCCATTAATAGGGTCTACCTGAGATTTATATTTCATGTATGGGTTTGTATTTTTTTTATCTCGCTCAAATTGTGAGCTGTGTTTCTTATGCTGTTTTGTTTGAGTTTGTTTTCTTATTAATGGTGTCTCTGTGGGTATTTTGGCAGACCTATGTGTTTCTTTTTCGTCTTGATCTCTGGCTATGAGATCATATTTTTCCTTGCAATATACATGACATGACTTTTGCAAAAGAAAATAAATGTGCAACTTAAATAAAAGTGCAAGATGGTACAACAAAGATCCACTCCAACTTTGATAGGAAAAGCATGCTAAATACAAAAGCAAATAAAAAATTAATTAGACAACAAGTAAAAAAATTTAGTTTGCTGCAAAACAATAGAGGTTTGAGTACTCACAGAGTTCCAAGCTGGTTCTTTAGTGCTGCAGAACCAATGAAGCCCAATCAACAAACTCAACCGTATATATATATTTATGCGTATGTATATGTATATGTAAGGGTCTTTGAAATGGCAGAGCCACTATCGCAAAACAATAAGATAAATAACTTGAGTGACAATTTTATGAACATGTCACAGATATCATACAGTTCTATTACTTTTCAGAAGAAAATAAAAATAAAAGAGGATGGTACATTCTTACGTCGTAGATAACATTCAGATAAAGACACCATGCTCCAATTTTACCAAGAGCTCCTAAGAAGTGGTGGGAATTCTACAATAAAATCCTACTATTACATTTATACTTCTTTTTCTTTTCTTCTTTCTCTTTTTTCTTTTTTTTTTGTCAAATATTTGTAGTCCTGAAACCTGATAAAAATTAAGTTCAAATAAAAACTAATCCCAATAAAAGTGCCAACATTGACATTGCACCACCTCCTTATTTCCATGTCATTGATACCTTCTTTTCTTAAATTAGTTATTCCGATCAGAAAGATCCTCTCTACTAAGTGATATAGTTCATCTCAATCAGAAAAGTTGTATTCGATTGTCAGCACTTTCTTATGTAAGAAACTATGTGATTCAATGAAAGTTTTTCCTCTTCTTCTCTAAATCTGCCGCCAAATATCACTTTTCTGCTCTAACATTCCATTCCATATTTAACACACATTTCAATTTTAGCAGCCACAGCCACAGGAGTTGAAAAAAATTCCATTTTTTTCCACGCCCCAGATGGTTCGTGCGTGTAGCTGTAATAACCTAATGTAATGCCCATAGTCGTCTTTTCCACACAATGAGGCTTTCTTGAATTCTTACACAGTGAACCATTTTCACTTTTTCCCTTTATATTCTAAAAGTTCCTTCTTCTCCAACAATAACATCTTCTAACGGGAAGCGAATGTACTTTATGAAAGAATCAGGCACTTAACTGGTCAGAGATTCCAGTACGAAAAGTCTGCTCTCCAAAAGAGACACAAGCGAGCCACTTGTCCTTGAACTTCATCCGCGCCTACAGAGAAACAAGAATAGCGAAGCATGTCAAAAGCAAGCACGAGAGAGAGAATCAAAGGAGAAAAGAGCAAGTGAATTACACGAATAAGAGTAAGAACAGCGATTCCAGCGAAATCGTCCTCGGAGCCGAGTTTGGTATGGGAACCAGAACCCCGGGCATTGGAGGCACGACGGCGTCGGCGGAGAAAGCGACGGCGGTGCAGACGATTCTTGAAGCGAGCGAGACGGGAGTCGTCGGCATCGGGATCGGAGGAGGAGGAGGATGAGGAGTGGTTGGAGCTGCCATTCCCCATGATTGGAAGTGGAAATGGAAGTGGAAGTGGGGGATTGGGGAGTTCGGTTTTCAGGATGAAAATATTGGGAGCCAGCGAAGTCCATAACGGCGATTTTGACTTTATGGAATGAATGGAACGGTGGGGTATTTGTTTTGTTTTATATTCAAGCAGATGCCTCTTCGGTAGGAAGCTGAATGGAATGTCAGTCCATTCAACGCTGCCTACTGGCGGCGTGCCCACTTTTGACGACCCCATTTCAAGTCATTTTCAGAGTTTTATTTTCATTATTGAAATTAGTATTCTTTATTGGTCGAGTTTCATTCTCTCCAAAGATTTGTACCCAGTTTTGGTCCTTCTGTGAGTTTGTGCTGCACGAAACTAAAGTGTTTTCTATCGCAGGATAAGGTTAATAAGAACCTCTAACTTGGAAGAACTTTTTACTTTTTCAAATCTCAAAAGATAAAACATTTTACATTCGTTTTAAGTTTATAATATATATTAATAAAATATGTAATCTCTCTTACATCTAAAGTAACAAATTTACATTAACAAAATAAATATATTGTTTTTTAAAATGTCATTTGATGTAAACAAGTATATTGAGTTAAGCACCATACTAATGGTAGCATTCCTCGATACAAAGCCTGTCGTCTTGTTGCTAAGAGTTACCATCAATAAGAAGTTATAAACTATGATGAAACTTTTAGTCCACTCATGAATAATAATAAAAAAACCTCACTGTTTGGACTACTCTCTCTGGCTTTTCAATATGATTGACCTCTACCGTAACTGCATTTCTTTATGGTGAGCTTCAGGAAGAGGTATATATGCAACAATCTCAAGGAGTTGATCTCGAGCATCCTCATTCTATTTGTTAACTTCTCGAGTCTTTCTATAGTCTTAAAAAGCACCACGTGCATGGTTCGATTGTTTCACGTCTCATCTCTCAATACTTGGTTTTACTGCTTCCATTGCTGATTCCTCATTATTTGTTCGAAATATGGATGGCTTCATTACTTACTTATTACTCTATGTTGACGATATCATTCTTACTAGGAACAATTCTTCCTATATTGATGTTTTAATATCTCAATTGAAGCTTCTATTTGAAATGATTGATTTGGGCAATTTTAAGTATTTCCTTGGATTTGAAATATCTCGTTCTTCACAAGGTCTCTTGGTCCAAGTATACAAGACATTTTACAACGATTTGACATGCTTACTACCAAGCCTACTTCTACTCAACTTGCCTTAACTAATTAGTCAGAGTCTGATTCTCTTCATTCTATTAAGGATGCCAAAAATACAACAGACATTTTGCAACGATATGGCATGCTTACTGGCAAGTCTACTTCTACTTAACTTGTCTTAACTAATTCATCAGAGTGAACTTCCATGGAGGATGCCAAAAATTATAGATCTCTCATTAAAGCTCTTCACTACTTAACCTTTAGTAGGCGAGACATTACTTTTGTTGTAAGCAAATTATCTTAGTGCCTGCATAAATCCCTATGATTCTCATTTAGTTGCTGCTAAGTGCACCTTACGATATTTGAATGGTATTATTGGTCTTGACCTACTTTTTAGAAAAGGTCACTCGGATTTCTTTCGTTTACATGCTTATTCAGACTCAGATTGGGCGGGGATCCTTGTGATAGGCGCTCTACTTCAGGAATGCTCATATTCTTGGGTTTCAATCCTATATCATGGGGTGAAAAGAAGCAAACTACATATTCTAGATGTTCCATTGAAGTAGAATATAGAGCCCTTGCTAATACTGCTACTGAAATTTCTTGGATACGCCAACTGCTCAAAGATCTATAAATCTTTAGTGATAAATCTCCAATGTCGTGGTATGATAATACTTATGCTATTTAGCTTGCTCGCATCTTGTGTTTTATGGTCATACTATGGATGTGGAGATTGATTTTAATTTTATTCGAGAACGAGTTGTTCATAAAGACGTAGAACTTTCTCACATTTCTACCTAATATTAATTGGCAGACCTCTTCACTAAAGCTCACATTGCAGCTAGGCTTCTTATCTTCGAACCAAACTCATTTCTGTATGAGCATTCATTTGGGGGGGAGTTTTAATATGTTGTTAGCTATTTTCTTTCAAGTAACATTGTAATACTCTTTATTCAAATGAAGAAGATTACTCTCACATTAATGAGAGATTATATCAAATTCAATCCTTCATGAGTTGTTCGTAGTTACGATTGGGTCAAAAGTTTGTTTTAATTCTATAATTGCATCTTATACCTTAAGTATCACTAATCTTGTAATGAACAATCTGTTTATGATCCAACCATAAACTAAGTTTCTCTCTTGTTGGGGCTTCATTGTTCAAGTCTAGAAATCAGCACTAAATAAACTACTCTTCTACATACCCTACATAAGAATTAGTGAATTTCATCTTATGAGATTATGTTCTCAACTCCTTATTCGGCTGTCCTTAAAATAGTATGCTTATTGAATTGACTATACAAGTATTTCTCACCCATGTAAATCAAAGGACATGCCTTCGTAGGCAAAAGTTCATAACTCACTCAAAATTTAGTTGAGTCGCATATGCTCATCTAGTGAAATATTAGTCTTTCATTTTAATAGATTTACAAAAAAAGATTACATATTTTACAGTCCAGTCATACACAAATCCATTGTATATAAGATACCTTCACTCACATGTCTTCCTATGAACGATTATGATAAAATAATTTGTAAATTTTACAAAGTGAGTTATACCAACAACATAACTATAATAGGACACTCAACCATATCCACATCCTGTGAACCCTTTACGGTAGTTCTTGAACATTATCTGTAGTATAAATGAAATAAATAATCAAAGTATATATAACAATTAATTAAAAAATTATGGGTCTCATTAATACATAAGAGAGAAATGGTAAAAATAGTAAAGTAACTATAATTAATGTGTATGATCCACGAAATAGGGAATGAGAATGAGATTGATGAGATTATAGGAGAGGAATGAGATTACAGGAGAGGAATGAGTTTGCTCATTTTTAGGAAATGAGATTGTCAAGTTTGAGGTGGTTCCCAATATTTCATTTTATTCCTATAATTTGGTAAACATAGAGAATGAAAAAATTGATTCACATTCCTTGATTTGATTCCCTTAAAGTACACATGGCCTATGAGTCTAGGTGAGAAGGGTCATATTTTTTATGTAACAATAATGATCAATGCTACTTTTAGCCCAATTGTGCTATTTCTTATGGGTGTTAGGCCTATACCAAACAATTTTCTTGTTAGGGTTGCACTTGGATAATCGTGGTTTTTTATAGGGATAAGTATACATATAGACTCTTTAAATAACCTAATTACATAAATTACTTAAATCTTACTAATTTATAGATTTGTCAAAATAGATGTCCGTTTAGGAGGAAGCCAAAATATAAATTACTAACTTGCCCATATTGATATTGTTAGGATTTATGCCATAAAGTCTCGTAGTTTGTAAATTTCAATTATTTATGAATAAAATTTTTATTTTATTTTATTTTGTTATGTGCAAATATGATCCAATTTTGTGAAAATCTAAGGTTATAAATGTAATCTTGAACAATATGTAGTTGACATATAAGATGATCATGTTCAAGTTATAACCTAAAGAGTCTGTAGTATATGGATAAGATTGTGTGTCTTATCCTAGTAACACTATTGATATGATCCACTTTGTAAATGTTAGAGATGATTTGATCCAAAAATTGTTCACGTGGAGACATGTGAGTGAGGGTATCATATACGCTGAGTTTACATAAAACTGGATCTGAAGTATTTAATCTTTCTTTGTAAATCTGTTAAAAGATAAGATAATAATTTCATAGGATGATCATATGTGACTCAATAATCCTGAGTAATTTATGAACTTCTGCTTGTGAGGACATGTCCTTTGATTTACATGGGTAAGAATTATTTTTCTAACCAATTCAATAAGCCTATTATTTTGGGGACGTGACCAAAATGGAGCTGAGAACATAAACTCACAAGATAGAAGTCACTCATTCCCATTATAGGGTAAGTAGATGAGTAGTTACCTTAAGTGCCGATTTCGGTACTTGAACAATGGAGCCTCACCCTCTCACTGGTCCGAGAGGGACTTAGTTTATAGTTGGATCATAATAGATTGTTCATTAGAGTATTAGTGGTACTTAAGGTATAAGATGTAATTACGGAGGTAAAATGGACTTTTAAACCCAATTGTAATTTCGAACAACTCGTGAAGGATTGATTTGCATGTAATGATTATATTCATAGACAAAACTTATTCTACAGTGCGTAAAAGTGCAACTCCGGGTTTATAGTGGAGTAACCTTGAGTTAATGAATGAACGTTAATTAATTGATGAGTTTAGTTAATTAATTTTGTATCATTGGAGCTTATAAACTGTATGTCCCCTTGCTAGCTCATAATAACATTAATTGACCAAATTATGTTGAAAGAAAATTGAATTTGAAATGTTCAAATTCATATTTAATGTATTTGGAATATATTAAATAATAAAGAGAATAATGAATTAATGTATTTGATACATTTAAAGTAAAATTAATATTTTATTAATATATAAGATACACTAATAAAATAATTATTTGATTGTGAATCAAATAATAGAAAATTTTAATATGAGATATTAAAAGATTTTATTTGGCACGAAATTCTCATAATTGGTGTAATTGATACATTAAAAGGAAAAGATAATATTTTATAGATAAAATATTATGAGAATCAAATAAAATAAAATTTTTTAATATGTGATATTAAAAAGATTCTACCTCAAACTCCTATAAATAGGACATTTAGGGTAAGCCAAAATAGTACACCTTCATTCTCTATGAATTCTCTCGAAATTCTCTCGTTTCTTTCAAGGAGTTCCCACTAACTTTGGTCCATTGTTCGCTGCGGAATGAATCGTTTATTCTATCAGATATGTTAATAATAAAAAAATATTTATAATTTTTAGCATCACTATTCCAAACATCTTGCTTTCCATATATCAAAAATTACGTTTCCAAATAATCTTATTCGATTTCTTCCCAAAATTTTCTTAGCCCTAATTTATTTAGTCTTCCCCAAAAGACTCTCCAGTCGATGCCCACGAAAAG